TTTTAAAGAGACAGGTCTCACTCTGTAACCCAGGTTGGAGTACAGTGGCACGATCATAGCTCATTGCAATCTCAACCTCCCAGGCTCAAATGATCCTCCCACCTCAGTCTCCAGAGTAGCTGGGACCACAGGCATGCAGCGCCACACCCAGCTAATAGAATTTCCTTCCTTTTAAAGTCTGAGTAATTTTCCACTGTTTGTATATGTCACATTTTATATCTCCATTCATGTGTCCAGGGACACCTGGGTCCTTTCCACCTTTTGGCTGCTGTAATACTGCCATGAACGTGAACATGCTAATATCTGCTGAAGTTCCTGCTCCCACTTCTTTCGGGCACACACTCAGGAGAATTCCTGGATATCCAAGACTCTTTCTAGGGTAGGTGCAGTGGCTCAAGCCTGTCATCCCACAAGGCTGAGGCAGGCAGATCACCTGAGGTCAGGAGTTCAAGACCACCCTGGCCAACATGGCGAAACCCCATCTCTACTAAAAATACAAAAATTAGCCAGGCGTGGTGGCGCAGGCCAATAATCCGAGCCACTAGGGAGGCTGAGACAGGAAAATCACTTGAATCCAGGAGGCGGAGGTTGCAGGGAGCTGAAATTGCACCACTGCCCTCCAGCCTGGGTGACAGAAGGTAACTCCATCGCAAAAAAAAAAAAAAAAAAAAAGAATCTAGCCTGCAACTTCACCCCCACAGTGCACATGGGGGTGGCGACCAAAACCACTGGCCAACGGGCTTTATTCTTCGTCCCTCTCCTTCCTCAAACACACCCCTGGGCAAATATCGGAGCTTTGTGGGTCCTATCAAGCCCTCTGAGATCACTAACAGGCTGTGACAGGCAGGGCAGGCCCCCGAGAAAGGCACTGTGTGCAAGTCAGCCGCCCCAAGTTCTGCCTGGGTTTGCCGCGATGGGTCCCTGCTTCCCTCTCCTCTCTGGACCTTGCATCCAAGGTACAGGGGGGTTGGCGGGAGTGGGTGGGCGCCTGTGTTGCAGTTCTGGGACTCCTAGCAGTTCTCCCTTAGGCAACACCAAACGCACGCGGGTGGACAAACAGCAGCAGTGGCCATGCCAAGGGGGCTGCAGGACAGCCTGACCCTGCCTGAGTCCCTGGTGTCCAGCTTCAGGCCTCAAGCCTGCAACACTGGGACATAGGCTGGGGAGCGCCCTAGACTTGGAGTTCTCTGGGATTCTTCCTCCCAAAGCAGTGCCAGGACCCCACTCCTCCCAGGTCTCACTCTGACCCCTCCTCCCAGGGGTGGCCGTGGTGTAGGCCTGGCCTGAGAATGCCTACCTGCAATGTCTGCTCGTTAGAATGCATGAGGTAGGCTATGGCCGCTGCACAGCTGCGGCTGATACCTCGGGTGGAAAAGATCAGGATGACAGAGCCAAGCTGAATGTGACTTCCTGCAAAAAGAAGTGGGGTTTGGGTCATGCCTGGCCCTCATCCCTGTGGGCCTGGCTTGCTGTCAGACACTGGCCTCCATGGGCCCACGGTCCAAGAATGAGTTCAGGACCAGCCCACGCGACCTCGGAAAGTCCCATAATTTCTCTGGGTATCCGTTTTGTTGTCTAGCAAGTAGGCATCCTTCAGACCTGGCTGGAAGCTCTGGTGAATCATGCCTGGGTAACCAGCATCACCAGGCAAGGAACTTTTCCTGAACTCCAGGCTTCTAGCCCAGGAAGCTCTGCTACCAACTGGCCTCCCAGGATGAGGCAGACAGGACCATTATCGACTCAGAAACATTCAGGAGCTGACAGAGGCAGTGTAGCCTCAGTGCCAATCTTGACTGCCACTTACTGGTTATGGGGCTTGAGTAAGGTCCAACCCTACCCTTTCCCTTTCCCCTCCCCTCTCCTCTCCCTCCACCTCCGTCCTCCTCTCTTCCTTCCCTCCCCCCCCCCCCCCCCCCCCATCCTCCCCCCCCCCCCCCCCCCCCCCCCCCCCCCCCCCCCCCCCCCCCCCCCCCCCCCCCCCCCCCCCCCCCCCCCCCCCCCCCCCCCCCCCCCCCCCCCCCCCCCTCCATCCCCTGTCCTCCTTCATCCCCTTCTCCCCCCTCCCTACTTCCTCTCCCCGCTCCCCCTTCCCCCTTCTCACCCACTTTCCTCCCCTCCTTCTTTGTTGAGACAGTCTCGCTCTTGCTCAGGCTGGAGTGCAATGGTGCAATCTCCACCTCCCAGGTTCAAGCAATTCTCCTGCCTCAGCCTCCCAAGTAGCTGGGATTACAAGTGACTGCCACCACATTCAGCTAATTTTTTTGTATTTTTAGTAGAGACAGGGTTTCACTATGTTGGCCAGGCTGGTCTCCAACTCACGGCTTCAGGTGATCTGCCCGCCTTGGCCTTCCAAGGTGCTGGGATTATGGGCGTGGGCCCCTGCATCTGACTTTTTTTTTTTAAATATAGACATGGAGTCTCAGTATGTTGTTCACGCTGGTCTTGAAGTCCTGACCTCAGGTGATCTGCCTGCCTCAGACTCTCAAAGTACTGGGATTACAGGCAAGAGCCACTGTGGCCAGCCTATTTTTATTTATTTTATTTTAGAGACTGGGTCTTGCTCTGTGGCCCAGGCTGGAATGCAGTGGTGCAATCACAGCTCACTGCAACCTTGAACTCCTGGGCTTAAGCCATCCTCCCACCTTAGCCTTCTAAGAAGCTGGGAACACAGGCATGTGCCACCAGGTCCAGCTAACTTTTTTTGCACAGATGGGGTCTCACAATGTTGCCCAGGCTGGAGGGTAAGTGGCTTTAAGCCACTGTGTCCTCATCTGGAAAATGGGACCACAGTATACTACCTACTCCACACGGTTTGGTTTTGTTCCATGCTGAGCCCAGTGCCTGGCGCGGAGATGTCAGCTACAATCACAGCACCCCTGAAGCTGTGAGTCCTGACCAGGGACAGGAAATCTAAGCTGGCACCTGAGGCTGGTCTGGCAACCCTCAGGAACTGAAGATAGGTATACCAAGTGCAAAATCACAGACTGCCAGGGCTGAAGGAGGATGCAGAAATGATGAAGGCCACATTCCTCACCAACTAAATAAAGAAACAGCACAGTTCATTCATTAAGGACTGGCTTACTGCTACCCAGGGAGGTGGGGCTGGATGGGGGCCTCTTTGGGCCACAGGGCTCTGCCATCTCAGGTGGGACACATGGGTTGTCTCAGCTTCAGGTCCTAGTTGAGTGACAGTTGACATCTGCTAGGCAAATAAAGAATAGTTGGGGCTGGGTACAGTGGCTCACACCTGTAATCCCAGTACTTTGGGAAGCTGAGGCAAGTGGATTGCTTGAGCTCAGGAGTTCAAGACCAGCCTGGGCAATATGGCAAAAACCCATCTCTACTACAAATACAAAAATTAGTTGGGCATGGTGGTGCATGCCTGTAGTCCCAGCTACTTGGGAGGCTGAGGGAGGAGGATTCCTTGAGCCTAGGAGGTAGAGGTGGCAGTGAGCCAAAATTGCGATAAGGTACTCCAGCTTGGACGAATGAATGAGCCAGACCCTGTCTCAAAAAATTAAAGTTCAAAATAAGGGATGGCTGGGCCAAAACGCCATGCTCCAGCCCTTGGTACAGTGGCTCAGGCCAGGGGCTGTGTTGGTGCCAGACAGGCAGGCACGGGGTGGGGACTCCGACCTGACTCAGCCCTGCTGTCTCTATGGATCTTACTCTCCTTGGGCAATCTGGAGCCCCAGTATTGAGTGAAAAAACCCACTCTCGATGAGTTAAGTAACTGGTGGGCATCACTTGGGCATGGGGCTCTTGTCTATAATCCCAGCACTTTGAGAGGCTGAGGAAGGAGGATCGCTTGAGGCTAGGAGTTCAAGACCTGCCTGGGCAAGATAGTAAGACCCCAACTCCAACCAACCAACCAACAAAAGCAAAAGAAAATCTTGGAAGCCAGAGCTGAAAGGGCTTTGCAGTCCTCCTTCCATTCCACCCGTAGACCACAGACTAAGGATGAAGGTGTGGATGGAGAGAGATTTGCCTCCTGGTCCCAGAGCTCAGCCCAGAGCCTCTATGAGCATGTACACTTGTGGGCAGACATCATCCTCATTTTACAAGCCCAGAAGGGCACAGCTGTCTAGCCAGGGTCAAAGCCTAGGACGCTCAACCCACAATCTTGGGCCCCACACCCCCGGAGGTCAATGCTCATTTCACTGAGGGCTCCTGAGATGCTGGACCTGTCCTGGAGCTCATCCCACCCAGGCTGGGCACGTGCCGGGCCCTGCCCTTTCTCTCCAGAGCACAGGGAGTCACGATCTGGAAGAAGCCTGTGAAGGAGGCGGCACTGCCCCTCTGCTTCCCAGACATAGGCCAGTGGCTACCTGGCCAAGGAACACTCCTTACCAGTGAAGTGACACAGGTGGCGTAAGAAGGGAAGAATCTGGGCTTCTGGGGAATCTTCTATCTGGATGTGCAGAAGCTTGTCAGCTTCACCTGCAAAACTACACGAAGGACCACACAGGTCATCAGGCACAACGCAAAAGACATACAACCCCATTGTGGGGTTTTCATCACAGCAGAAAGGTTACAGGTAGGACGCTGAGCTTGTGTAAGGGGACTGTGCACAGGTAACTCAACCTCTCTGGGGAAAAAACATCCAGGCTGGGTGCGGTAGCGCATGCCTCTAAGCTCAGTAACTTGGGAGACAAGAGGTGGGAGGATCACAAAGCAAGAGTTCGTCTTTTTTATTTGAGACAGAGTCTTGCTCTGTTGCCCAGGCTGGAGTGCAGTGGCACAATCTCAGCTCACTGCAATCTCTGCCTCCCAGGTTCAAGTGATTCTCCTGCCTCAGCCTCCCAGGTT